ATAGAAAGATTAACAAAGCCAGACTTAATTCCAATGAGAAAAACACAGACTCAATTCCGATGCTTCAGATGTTTACGAGAAGCCAGACYAGTCTATATTATATTTTGAGGTGGAACATGGTAAGGCGCCGAGTTTGTCATGTTATAAGCTTTAATGCGGGAGAAGAGACCGAGAAAGACAAAGGTGTATTCGTCATGATCCATGAGCTGGATGCAGTTAGGGAATAGGTCAGGAAAGGAGGTCGCAGGGACACAAAAAGGTTCAGACTTTGAGAGGAAAATGCAGASGTCTCCGATGTCTCGAGTGTAAAGAGMGTTTCCTTCTCCGTCAAGCTTGAACACCATTAGAGCTCTTGTTTTCATTTTCACCGTACCACTGGTAGTGGCCCTCCTGTACCACTTGAGTAAGAAAGTCTCACCGGTGGGACGGGACTCGACCAAGTGTTCGGTCGTGGAGCAAGAATGCAAGAGCTCGAGTTTGGTCTTGGTCAGCTCGGGAAGGTTTTGAAACCGCAACCTCTGAATCTTGGGTTTGTCCTTGAGATCCTTGAGATCCCATGATCCAATGAGGTGGCCTCCAGATCCGGGCAAGCAAAAGACGTCATCTTTCTTGGAAAACATAACACGGGAGGAGTAGAAGCATTGGTTCTTGATTCTGATGTTGGTCCACTCGGGATTACTCTGAGCCGGTCTGCAAAAGCTTAGCTGAGGACCCAAGAACTTGACAGCAACGACACAATCCTCATCCTCTGGAGAAGATGAGGACGTTGAAATATTGGTCACGACCTGAGTTTGGCAACCAGGCAGAGTACAACATTGAATGTCTATCTCTTGTGCATGAAAAAGGTAGCACCCATAAGTGCTCATCATCCACGGTTTGTAAATATTGGAGATCTGTTTTCAGAAGGCTCCCTCAATCCTTATGCTGATGATCCCTACGCATTTGACTGAGCACCGAGTCGAATCTACCACAAAACGGAAACTAGCCGCTACTAAAAGCAGATTAGTATACCAGAGAAGCTAGCCGCTATTAGAATCTCTTAACGGGACCAGTACCCTCAACATGAAACGAGAAGTTCGTTTCTTTCTGTTCGCCAGAGATTTTAAGGTTGTTTTCAAATAAATCACACTCCTACTCTAGCAATTAAGGATTCTCTAAACTCTAGCAAGTAAGACTTGTCTAAACGATAGAAACCAAGGAAGGTATCTATGTTCAAACCATACCCTTGAATAAAAACGGTTTGTAGGATTCTATGTTCAATCCCAACACACCAGATTAGAAGAAGTGTGAGCTCTACTAATGTAAACAATATGCAACAAGCATTTGAGAATAGGAACACACCTCCTGATTTGATCCCAGATTTTGATATTGAGGTGCATCTGCTGCAACAAGGGCAGGTTGACAAAGTTTTATGGCAGCAAGAAAATCTTTTAGATGCCACTGACTTGAATATTTCCCAAGCAGCAAGTGAACTTGAAATATTTTCATAAGATACAACTCAAAACTCCATCTTTCTTCAGACAAAAAGACCTGGAAAGCTATCTATCAAAACTGAAACCCTAACTGAAAAAGGGAGAAACGATCCAACGTTCTTATCTCAACTGCCTAGGCCTTTGCTAACAACTCGTTTCAAAAAAATTGTCTTGTTAAAATGGGGGATTTCTATTGTCTGGTCAAACTTTTATAATAATATATACTAGATTTTGACCCACGCCAAGCGTGGATTAAATATTAAAATATTTTTTTTAATCGAATTAATATTTAGATGTGTATTCTAATATTTATAAACGTATAAAATGATATGTATTGTGCACAAATGTAATAAAATTAATTTTTTACTAAATTTATTTCAATGTCATATGCTTTGATCAATTTGCATTAAATATTAAAACTAATGCAAATGTTATTTATTTCAATTTATTTGAAGTGTCAAATTGATTTTTTTTATTTGTGTAAATAGTAGAGTATGCGTTAAATCAAATAAATTTTAGATTTATATAAATTTGTTGGACGTAATAAACAAAAATATATGTTTTCTAATAATAAAATGTAAAAATATTTGTAAGTGTAGTTATCATCTACAAATAAATAATATTGTTACATATATAATAATAAAAAGTTTTTCTAATATATCAATTAAAAACAACAATAGATGATATAGTAAGTCTAAATATTACATTTAGTTAAACTTAACTCAGTAAAATATATATTAGGAGCAATTGCAAAAATGCCACTTTTGGTGTGTACATTTGCAAGAATGCCACTTAAAGGTATCCATTTGTAAAAATGCCACTAATTATGGATCTTTAAAGCCTAAATCTGAAAATTATAAATTCTAATAAATGTTTTGACCCTAAAACCACTTAAACTCTCAAAACTAAAATCTAATAAAATATAGTTAATCCAAACATAAATGATATTATGAATTTTTTTTTTGAAAAAATGGCATTTTTAAAAACTTTTCTATATATTAATTGGTTTAAGTTATAAAATAAATAAAAACATATAGAGATTTCCACTATAATATATAGGTTCAATTAAAATATTTTCATTAGTTATAATTGTTTTTCTTTAAATAGATTACTTTGACCAAAAATGAAATTATGTCCTGGTGGAAGAATTAAATATTTCAGTATTTGTCTACCCGTTTCCATTGAATATTTTTGAACGGATTATAAATGTAATATTCAAGTAAATGCATTCAAGTATATATATATATTTACTTGTCTATAGAACATAAATTTGACCATACATTTAGAAAAAGGAGTATATCTATATATCGAGGAGAAAATTATCAAAAATGCCATTTATTTGGAAAAATCTTCTAAAAATGCCATTAATTTTGAATCATTCAAAAAATACCACAACCTATATGAAAAAGACAATTATATTCTTTCTTTAATAAAATATATAATCTCTCTTTCTCTCTCCCTCTTCTTCTCACGTTTCTTTCTCCTTTCTCTCTTCTCCTCTTTTTCTTCTGTTCTTTCTCATTTTTTTT